AACACTTGCATTTGACTTACAAATTGTTTATAGACACTTTCATAACGCGGATGCAGGTAGGCAGCGTCTCACATATATCGCTCTAGCCATAAAATGCCGAAACCACAAGCCTACTGCACCTCTATCTCTATCGGTGAGAGGTAGAAACTGTGTACTTCCTGTCGTCAAATGCTCCAAGCACATGCATACGAGAGGACCACAATCCCCTCTGGCTTCCTACGTTTGTTGTGGCGCAGTCTCGTCTCTGATAACTGTAACATTGAACTTCTTTGGCTTCTTGTTTCCAGAATAAGTCCAATAATTAATCGCATCCAAGAATTTAGCCAAATGAGAGCTCCATCCCATAATAATATCTCTCAAATCAGACAATGATATGTAATTTATCATGCTGTCATATACTATTATCTTCAGGGATGGGAGCTGAAGCTCGACGAGAAGCCAATGAGTATGTTCCAAAACAGGGATAAACACCTGCAATCATAAGTAATAATTCAAATTGCGCACTTATTTATGAACACCTTTAAAATATTTAAAAAATAAATACTAACCTTATCGACCTCCCACCATGCAGGATAAAATTTAGCTTGTCCATTAGCCAACACATATGATTCCTGTCGTTGATTCTTCAAGTGAACTACGTGAAAAGATGTCGGCATAATTATATATCGCGTATTTTTTTTATTTTTCTTCAATTTCCTTACTATTAGAAGACGTGACACCCATGCATCAATATGTTGTTTTACAAAAAAGACATATATTAGTGAATTACATAAATTTAAAAAAAATTAATCAAAATGAAATATAAGAAGAAATATAAGACTTACCCCCCATCAAAATAGCCTTTGTCTTCAACCCCTAATAACACACCCCACCAAGACCGATCAATCAACAAATACATATCATCGTTGAGTTTGTATATGTCAGCGTAACACCCTTGGCTCCGCTCATGTAGATAAAAATCAACTGCGGTCTTAGCCCAAAGGGTATTATCCAGAATTGTTTCCGGTAGTTGTCTCCTCTCCACTTCATCTGCCGGAATGGTACTGGCCGGTAACTCATACGAAAGACAACAGTCATCCATCATGTCCGGCACGTGAGGGGGTTTCTCAATAATTTGATATATTACGCCGTATGAATCGGGCTCTTGAATGGTGGGAGGGACCTCTTCAACGATGACAGGGGCCTCTTGAACGGTGGGAGGAGACTCTTGAGGGATGATAGGGGCCTCTTGAACGAAAGGAGAGGCCTCTTGAACGATGACAGGTGAGTCGGGCTTCTTCTTACGAAGTTTTCGCACTATTGGGGTGAACAGAGACGTAATGGCACGTGCACGCCATCTGATGCGTGAACCCCGTCTTACAAAAAAAACCCGACGTAAAGCATCCACCTTATCGGGCCGCTAAAAATAAATTAATACATAAATCAGTAAATAAACAGACATGATATTAAACAGTGAAAACAAAGACAAATATGTTTCAAACTTGCACGGTATTCACCCAAGTCATTATTCTATCATAGTTCACAAAATGCATCAGATAACATTCCGGAAGTAAGTACTTATAAACATTTAAAAGGACAACATATAGGTTTAGTGCATGTTCAAGGACAACATAAAGAGTAGTAGTTTATTCTTGAAACTTAAATTTGCAACAATGTGAAGTTAGTATTTGTCTTTGTCTTTTGGTTGATAATGCAATCCATTCAAGTTTCAATTTGCAAAAGAAGAATAGTTTCTGAAACTTAAAATCGCAACACGAAACTTAAATCGCAACGCGAAAATGACTATTGCAACGCGGAAATGACTATCGCAACGCGAATTTGACTATCGCAACGGGATAATCGCAACGCGAAACTAAATTCGCGTTGCGATAGTCATTTTTGCATTGCAATTTTCGCGTTGCAATTTTTATTTCGCATTGCGATTATCCCGTTGCGATAATCATTTCCGCGTTACGATAGTCAAATTCGCGTTGTGATAGTCATTTTCGCGTTGCGATTTTTAAGTTTCGTGTTGCCACTATTCTTCTTCTGCAAATTGAAACTTGAATGGATTGCATTACTTCAACCAAAAGACAAAACAAAGACAAATACTAACTTCACAGGGTTATTTTAGAACTGTTTAGCAGTATTGGCAGCAACCGAATGAATTTACTAAGCAATCTAAGTGAAATGGTTAATTTAAGTGAAATTACGAGTAAATCAAGTTAAAATTAAAAAAATTTAAACTTACCTCGTTGCGTAGAGTATGAACCTCATTCTTTTAAGATGCTACCATCTCACGTAGAGCTGCTACCTCACCACGTAAAGTAGATACCTCGTCACTTCATGCACCATTGTCATCGCGTAAAGTACATACCTCCTCACGCAAGGCATTGACCTCATCACGTTACTCCCCTAACTCATCCCGTGGAGGTGGAGAACAGGGAGATAAATGTTGTGGCATCTTTTCCGGTCGCCTATCATGAGGTGATGGTGGAGAAGAGGCTCGATGATGTGACGGAATAGGTGATGGCTCTCGTTGTAGAGGTATATAGTGTGGTCGATCAGGTGATGGCTCTGGGTGAGGTGATGGCTCTCGAAGTGGAGGCTTCTCATCATCCGTGCCATCAAAAAAATGCTTACTAGCTTGCCACCAATCAGTGGCAAGCTCAGCCTCCGTAGGTGTCAACCTCTGTAATGGAGTGTTGGCTTCCTAACAATATAAAAGCTCAAACAAAGTTAAATGTGTACTAGTAATAACTTGTTTATATATGGTAGTATTTGTGTTAACTTACATCATTTATTGTCGTATACCGTAGTAACTCTTCCCAAATCAACAACCGTCATTTCCTCTTCTAGGAAATAGCTATAGGAATATCATTTGAAGTTTTTAATGCATATGTCTGCATGTCGGGAAAAACCTCAAATATCCAAATCTACAAAAACAATATAATACACAAACATTAGTAATTGTTAAATAATTAATTATAATTTTGGAAACATTATATAGAAATTCTTACCTTAAAGGCCCAAATAAAGCCTGACAAAGTGTATTTGGAACCATCGCCTCGTAAACTTTTGCGGTCATCAAAGGCAGACGACAACTTATTCCAGGTAGCTTTCCATAGATACGAACCCCACGGAAACAGGTTCCATGCATTTAGGTCCTCTACCAATAATATTAGGTCCTTAGGAATAGGTTGTCTGGCCTCTCTGCCTAAAAAGCCGGCATGCAAAAGTACTAAAAGGCATACTCGGGCAACATCGACGTCATCCATCCGAGTAAAACCATCTTTCTTATTCAATAATCTCGTCAAGTCGTCGACGTGTAAATTCGGCTTCTCCATTGATAGCTCAGGAAAAACCCGGGATAACCATGATGGGCGGGTAATATGACTAGTGTATCGACCTACATCATCGTGTCCGAAGCGTAGACCAGTGATTAAGCAAAACTCCTCCCGCCCAAAACACGTATACGTCGGTGGAAAATGAAACCATATCTCTTCATTACCACATTTTATACTCTCGGGTAAATCGTTAGTCATGGTCTGAAGCCACAAATGGGTCAACATAGCATCTCCACCCGGATGTTGTACTTTCAGCCATGGCCCGAAGCATGTATCCTCAAAAAAGTTTCTTTGTACAGGTGAAAGCTTCAACGCAATTATAGTGACTAGGCTTATTTTATTCCTTAAGGTCAATTGAGCCGAAAAAAAGTTCTACAAAAACAGTAAACATACCAAGTTAAATTAAAAACTACACTGTGAAGATATATCAAAAACAATAATAAACATAAAGAGTAGTAGTAGTTTATTCTTCAAACTTAAATTTGCAACACTGTGAATTTCGTATTTGTCTTTGTTTTTTGGTTGAAGTAATGCAATTCATTCAAGTTTCAATTTGCAGAAGAATAATAGTTTCTGAAACTTAAAATCGCAACACGAAAATGAAAATCGCAACACGAAATGACTATCGCAACGAGATAATTGCAACGCGAAATGAAAATCGCAATACGAAAATGACTATCGCAACGCGAATTAAACTATCGTTGCGATTTTCATTTCGCGTTGCGATCCTCGGTTTCAAAGTCATTGTCTAAAATTGAAACTTGAATGAATTGCATTACTTCAACCAAAAGACAAAACAAAGACAAATACTAACTTTACAGGTTAAAGACTAAACAGTTTAGCAGTATTGGCAGCAATCAAATGAATTTAATAAGCAATCTAAGTGAAATGGTTAATCTATTATTGAAATTACCAGTAAACTTATCATCAATTTCAATATGAAAAACCTAATAATAATGCAAAAATTTCAAAATAAAAATAATTAAAAAAACTAACCCTCGGTGGTTGATTTGGTTGATTTTCCATTTCTGATCGTGAATGATTGTGAGAGTGGCTCTGAGAGATGGAGATAGACGGATTTCGCCGGAGATGGGGACGGATGTCGCCGTAGAGAGTGAGAATGGAGATGGGACTGAGTTGTGATTTAGGGTTTTAGGTTAAGAGTTGCGATTACGGGATGTATTAATATTCGTGTTTGGAATTTGAAAATAAAATACGCGTTGCGATACTAATGGCGCTTTGAAAATCGCATTGCGATTTTGTATTATCGCGTTGCGATAGTCAGAATCGCGTTGCGATTTACATATTCGCAATGCGATAGTCAAAATCGCGTTGCGAATCTGGAAACTGATTTGCAATACTAGAGATCGCGTTGCGATTTAGAGATCGCATTGCGATTTTGTTGGTCATTTTGGCAAATCGAAAAAAAGTTGGTCAAAATGTATATATAAGGAATTTTCGGTCACTGAGGTTATTTTCTCTAAAAAAAATATTAGTTAGGAAGCGCTCTTAAAAAATATTTTTTGGTAATTTTCTTAATATTTAAATTACACTGCAAATCAATTAATTAATAGTACGATTAAAATGGATCGTTCAATTATTTGTACGATTACGAAAGGGTCACCTAATTTTAAAAGGTGACAAACAAGTCAATCCATCAATTGAAAAGAAAACTCATTTCGAGTTTTAGATTCTAAAAGGTCAAAAGCTTCATTCGATGATCTAAATAGTGAGAGGCATCTATTGGTTAGAGGAAGGATATATTTTAAGATGAAGGTCATTTGACGAAGGATGATGTAGACTGAGAATCAATATGTTTGAAAATTTTAGATGATTTAATAATTTTCTTTATAGAAATTATCAAGAATCTAATAAAATGAATTGAATAAAAAGATTGAGGTCAAACTTATTATAAAATTTGAGGTTTATCGACCATCGTATATGATGACTAACGATTGTAACACCTCATATTTGATTTGTTCTGGAGGTGTTTTCTTTAGATACATGTCATTTGAGTTAGATTTGGAAGAAAAAAAAATCAAGTTATAAAAAAAATCAAAATAAGTGCTTTTTTTTTAATTTCAATAATAGAAAATGATAATCAACATTGACAAACGAAAATAGTATAGATTATATTTTAATTATATTCAGAGATGGGTCTTTATTTAAAAAGAATTTTTATTTGTAAGGATCAATAGAAGAAAGAATATTAATATATATATATGGGTTATGATCCACTTACACAATGTAAAACTCTTTAGTTTTACACAAATTTAGAACCGTTGGATGAGTGAAAATAGATGACTAAGATTGACTCTCTTTTTTTCCAATGAATGTCTTCTCATTTCTTACTTTTAATCTCAGCCATATATTCACTCATTCAATTGTCCTAAATCTGTGTAAAACTAAAAACGTTTTATAATGTGTAACAATACCCTATCCCATATATATATATTCAAAACGACATCATCAACATCGATATGTCATACCAAAACAATGTTTTGATTACACCATCACATTAATAAAATGACTGTCTACGTCATCAATCATTTCTAAATTAATGACCTAGTAATATAGTCGACGTTTTTTCTCGAAATATCATCGGTGATCGGTATATTTACCGATCTAACATCGGTCATATTATATTTCCCGATCTAACACCCGTAGCAGTAAAGCGCGCCCCCTGACCCGCGCTATATGTTGATTTGGCGCCACGTGGGGTATAGCGCCCCCCTGCACCACGCTATACGCTGACTAGGTTACACGTGGCTATAGCGCGCCCCCTGCTCCGCACTATACCTATTTATCTGACACGTGGGGTATAGCGCGGTGCAGGGGGCGCTATAGCTTTAATTACCCGGTTGTTCACACCCCACCCTTCCCTATAAATACGTCATCATCAATCACTTTCATCACACCAAATTCTCTCAAATACTCTCTCGTTTAAGGTATATTTTATAATATTTTTAATATTATTTATTTAATTTATTTAAGTATTTTACTTTATTTAATATTTTACTAATATAATTTTTTTTGCAGATATATAATAGAAGGTGGTCTACTTCGCTTAGATGGAAATCATATATCTCGACACTTTGCTGATACGGTAACATTTTAACGTTTTAATTTAATTTAAATTATTAGTAATAATTTGTTGATTTATTTAATACATGATTATTAGATTAAGAATTAATTTTTGTAATTATTTATTTTTAGGAGAAGGATCGTATATTAGATCCTTTTATTAAGAATCTTAAGTTAGTGATACCTAGCCGTGTCTTACCGTATTTAGTAGAGGCTGGATTTGGTTACATAGGTAGATATCAGGGTCACTGTAAGATAGAACCAGACCTTATTTATACCTTAGTAGAGCGGTGGAGGCTGGAGACCCACACATTCCATCTTTCGTGCGGAGAGTGCACGATTACACTTGAGGATGTTGCTATGCACCTAGGGCTTCCGATGGATGGAGATGTGATATCAGGGATCTCGCAGGGTTCCTGGACTACTTTGTGCCGGGATAATCTAGGACGTGTCCCAGAAAGTTTTATTGGAGGTAGGATACCGTTAAATTGGTTAGATGCCAATTTTCGGGAGTTGAGCGCAGATTCCTCTGAGGATGAGGTTAAGATGTATGCACGGGCATGCATATTGCAGTTGATAGGAGGGTTGCTGATGTTGGACAAATCACGCAACCTAGTTCACTGCATGTGGTTGCGACATCTTAGCGACTTTTGTCTCACCGGATCATTCAGTTGGGGCTCAGCAGTTTTGGCTTTGCTGTACAGGAAGATGTGTGGAGCCACTGACTACAGGCGTAATGCTATCGGCGGATGTCTCCTGCTACTACAGTCTTGGGCATGGTATCGATTACCCTTTTTATGTCCCGTTGTGAAGAACTCATTCGTATTTCCACTACTTCTGAGGTAATTATAAAACTGATTTTGTATATTAATAATTTTATACAACGTATAATAATTTTTTCCTTATATAGGTGGTCTATTGATAGGAAAAATCATCAAGAGCTACCTGATGATTTAGAAAAAATTAGGGTGCTCATCGATCAGCAGGCTGGCACACATGTATGAATTTTAATGTTTAAAAATCGATTTTAGATTATAGTTATATAATTAGATTATTATTTTGATAAAAAAATTATATAATATTTGTTTTAGTTTGAATGGTGTCATATTGTACTGATGATGTGAGGGCGGTGATCCCACCTGAGTTGAGGGGCCCATCAGATGTTTGGATGGCGATGGTCCCTCTGATCTGTTATGCGACTGTCGAGTGGCACTCTACTGATCGCGTGCTCCGGTAGTTTGGTTGTTTTCAACCAATTCCGGAAGCACCTCACAATATGGACGAGTTGCATAGCTTAGATAGACGCGACAAGACAGATACAGATTGGTTGGTGAGGCATCATGAGTGGGTCGTGTTGTGGGAGGATCGATATCGGCGCCTTCCCCGTAGAGAGTCCATTTTTGATGACCTCTTGATGTATGCTGACGGTTATTATGAGTGATTCAACAGTAACGGGAAATCGTTTCTGCTTCCCGAGGATGCACGAGGGCAGACCTTTCCGCGACGTCGACAAAGACGTGATCCGACACAGCACCATCGTTCCCTGACTCATGGACGGAGAGCAGGTGCTTTCGGTTCATCCTCAGCTGCACCATCAGGACCTTTATAACAGCCACCGCGGCCATATGATGCCGCCATCTCCTTTCCATTACCAGATGCTGCCGCTGCCTTCACCTGGTTTTATGACCCCGCCGCCGCTACCGTCACAGATGACCCCTCCTGGAGGCTATTATGGGTCTATGTTTGCAAATCTGACTTGGGCTTCATATGCTAGATATTTGGCGGGTTCAGCCTCTTCACCCATGGCCGCAGTACAGACACCTCCTGTACAGTTTTCACACTCAGCGATGTCTGGGTTTTATGAGTTTTCCCAGTTTTCGCAGGTCGGTGGGATAGTCAGTCATACACCTCCAGGTTCCTTATTCTATGGAGGTGTTTCATCGTCATCAGCTCCTCATCAACCTAATGTACCTGCTCAGGACGACGACGACGACGATGATGGTGATGATGATGACAGCGAGGAGTCAGAACCAGTGATATGAAGAAATCCTCCTCGATATCGACAGCCACCGCCTTGCGAAACACATTCGCGTCGCAGGCATCGATAGATTTTGTTTTTTATTATATTTGTGTTTACTTTATTTTGTTAAATTGTAATTTTTTATTATTTCTCATTTAATACTTACTTTATTTTGTTACATTTGTTGGATTTTTTTTAATGTATTTCAGTTCATTTTGTTTATTACAATTTAATATCAGTTATTGCAATTTGGTTATCATTTACCATTTAATACTTATTGTAAGTTTGTTGTATTTAAAATTATATTCAAATACCAAATTGTTATTAGTTTAATAAAATTTAATGATTGTGTTCATTTTTTTAATCTTCATCATCGATTATCGAATAACATTAACTTGAAGTAAATGCAAATTAAAGTACAAGAATTATTATTTGATAAACAAATACATCATTTCCTCATCAATTGTTACTTGATGACAACAGAAGTGGACATGTTTTTCTAGTGTGTCCTGGGTTTCTACAATGCCCACATCTTATGTTTTGTCTAGATCTTTCTCGAATATCCATATCGCAATGAATTCGATTGGATTTTGGACGACCACGCTCCCTCAATAAACTCGGATTTGGTACAATCGGAAGCCAATCTTGAACCTCATCATGGTCTTTGTCATTACCTATGGGGGAAACTCAAATTCGTATACCTTAAAAACTTCAGATAGTAGGTATATGGGATCCATAAAATGGTTATAGTCTTGAAGTGAATGCGAGCAAGCTGCTATCACATGAGAGCATGGATACTTCAGAGCTTGAAAAAACCCGTTGTCACACGTTCTGTCCCTTAGATTTACTTTTAACGACACAGCTTCAATCCCTTGAAGAGGTCACGGTAACTCTGTGACATGAAACATTTCATGCCTTCTAGAGAAGCTTGTTACAGACATTCCATTTGATGCAGTAATTTTTTTCTGTAGATATGCAACTAATCTAGGGTGATAGACATGACCGCCTTGCATCCAGGTTTGAGTTTGTCCCCCGAGCTTCGCAAAAAGTACCCCCAAATGAAAATATGTAGTTTTTACCAAAGCCGCTACAGGTAAGTGACAGGCACCCTTTAAGGTTGAATTGATTGCCTCAACCAAGTTGGTCGTCATGTGTCTATATCGATATTCACCATCATATGTGTTCGTCCACATTTCTTTATCGATGAGGCTAATGTAATCGTATCCTTCCTCGTTCTTCACCCGTAAATCTTGAAGCATTGATTCAAACGTTCGAGGAAGAAGTTCGTAACCTGATAAAAAATGTATAACTTACTAACCTGATCAAAAGGATCGAAAGAAAACAAACTACATCAATTTCACTTACCCATGCGCACAAGTAATTGATGCTCATCATTCCTCTTGGATTTTCCATGGTAGTTCGCAGCAATGTGTCAGAGACAATACCTATGTTGGACAAAGGGTGGTTGCCACATTGGACCCAAAGACTCCATTGCTACTTTGATCCCAGCTCCGCGATCAGAAATGACATAGATTTTATCCCTCGTGATAACATGTGCACGTAAATTTCGGAGGAAAAAAGCCCAAGAATCTGTATCTTCTCCTTCGACAAGAGCAAAAGTAACTGGAAGAATGTTGCGATTTCCATCTTGGACAACTGCCAATAATAAAACTTGCTTGTATTTTTCATACAAGAAAGTCCCGTCGATCTGGACCACAGGCTTGCAGTATTTGACAATATTAACGCACTGTGGGTAAGTCCAAAAAACCCGGTAGAATTGGCATCGATCGCGGAGAACTCGATCATTATGGTATGCATAGGAGGTTTCGAAATCCACAATTATCCCAGGATTCAACCTCCGCACCAGCCTAAACCAGCCTGGAAGTTCGTTGTAAGATGCATCTCATTCGCTATGAAGTTTGACAATGTCATTTTGTTTTGCCAACCAAGCTTTTTTATAGGAGACAATGTACCCATACTGCTATTGTATAGCTGAAATCAACACTGCAACAGCTATATGAGAGCTTACTTTTACCATGGGCATGATGTCTTGACATATCACTTCAGAGTCCAAGTTGGGATGATCTTGGTTGACCCCTCCAGCACAACATGTGTGAGGACCGTTGTATACTGTTAGTTCTCATATATTGTTTTTCCTCTTCATTTTCGATACACGAACCATCCATTTGCATCCGTTTTCACGTCAGGCACAGTAGCATACATATTTTTTGGTCGTCGATCGGTTTACTCTGGACTGAATAGAATTACGGATATTGTAATTTTTTATAGCCATCACCGCTTCTTCTTTGCTTGAAAACTCCATGCCTAAAGATAACTCACCATTATTTATTAATGAGTAATATCCATAGTCACCGAGATGAGGCATATCCGCAAATTCTGGCCCGTACATTGCACTATAATCAGCTTCATACATGTGTGCAGGAGGGTCAGTTTGTGCCACATTTCCTAGAACTTCATCATCATCAGAGTTTAATTTCGGTGATTCTGGGTGAATGAATAGTCCAATCTCAGCACCATCCGCACCAGGCTCACGAAGCGATTCTTATGGTGGAGATGATGGTTCCTCCATGCTCTCCATATTTAGGTCGAAGAACATACTACTTGCATGCCTTCCCCTTGAACTGGAAGACATATCGACATTGAGATCGAAAAAGCTTGCAGTCGAATGCCTCCCCCTGGAGCTTGAAGCCATCGTGTAAAATGGAAACTGCACAGATGGTTGCGTCGATGGCATCTCCATATGGTCAAAGCAATTTGCAGATGAATGCCTTCCCCTTGAACTGGACGTGGTGTTGCCATACGGATTGTTCGTGGACCCACCTCGGTACATATCGTAAGGAGTTGCGGATGAATGTCTCCCCATTATGGCATTAAAATCATTACACATTACTGTAGTCGGGCTGTCAACTTGATCAACTTGTTCAGCCAACCCATAGTGGGAGCTTAATGATTGACCACGAACAGCACGCACTTAAACAAAATGTGCATACATCTCAATAGCGGCGTCTGAATAATTACTTTGAGCTTCAACCATCATTTCAACATCATCATTGTTCGAAACCTCGAACACTGTATAAGTTAATGGAAACAATGATGTTGGAAATTTGTACTGCAATGACGACATTCTTCTACTACTTCCAACATGAATCTTCCTCGAAATCTTCGTTATTAGCTCCTCAAGAGTTATTTTTCTCTTGAATGATATTTTAACATGCTCATTTGATACGAAAACAACGCCGGTTTCATCTTCTCGAATTTCACCATCATAATAAACAATAGCTGAAAGTCGTGTCATTCTTTGAGTTTAAAAGTGGGGCAATTTTATATCTGCAAAAAATAACTGAAACAAACCTGATTAAATAAATTATATATGAACGAAAATATAACACAATAAATTTTTACACATCAACGTAAATAATTTAAATAATATAATTTTATATTATTACCTGCACCGTAAAACTATTTCGACGTATACTCTCGCTTTTCATTTTACAAATATAAAAATTAATTGAAAATAATTAGTATAATATTTTTTCAAATAATCATAATAAATAATAAGTATAATAAAAAAAATTTATAACAAAATTACCTTATAACGAAAAATTGCACGAACTTCTAAACTAAATATGAGAAGATTGCCAAAATTATTGACTCGTTGACGGAATTATTGTATTAATTTATAAGTTGAGAGGAGAGATGTGAGGAACATAACCGAGGGAGAAGGGTATATATAGCCATACAAGGCGCGGTAACTGCACTGCTGTATATGTAATTATGGTATAGCGCGGATCAGGGTTCGCGCTAAATATAATTGTCTAGATACACAGATATAGCGCGGTTCAGGGGGCGCGCTATATCCCACGTGTAACCCAGTCAGCAAATAGTGCGGTGCAGGGGCGCGCTATACCCCACGTGTCACCAAATCAGCATATAGCGCGGGTCAGGGGGCGCGCTTTACTGCTACGGGTGTTAGATCGAAAAATATAATTTGACCGGTGTTAGATCGGTAAATATACCGGTCACCGGTAATATTTCGGGAAAACGCCAATATAGTCGAAGTCTAAACTAATAATGTTAAAATTGAATGAATTAAAGATTTAGTATTAGTATAAATGATACATTGATTGAAGTTAAGTGATATCTCATATAATTAATTAGTCTAAAAATATTGATCAGTGAATAGATTCTTTGTTTCGAATGTAATTACCTTTGTGATTTATATTTTAAATTTTTAAATAACTTTACCGATTAAGATGATGTTTAATTAAATTGGACATCAACTCAATAAATATTTGGAAAAAGTACATAAATGATCCCCTGATTATAGGACACTATTTCGTTGAGTTTCTTAATTATTAAAAGTTACAAAATAATCTTCTAATTTTAGGGTGATGCTTTGTTGAGTATCTGACTATTAAAAGCTACAAAATGACTCGACTATTCGTATGTTCAAAACTCATCATTTTCTATTAAAAATTGGTGATCGTCTAAGTTGGATGTTAATTTGTTGATTGGAGATATGGTAAAATCTAATCACAGAACCGTTTAATATATTTTATAGATTGACTATGCGTTTACATTATGCCATCTAGTCAGTGCTTGAAACATCATGTTGTCGGACCAGTGCTTAAAAGCAATCACGATGCAAGTACACATCAGTAAAATATAATTTTATCATATTCTAATTAACATTTTAATGTCCAGCCCATACGGTCGTCAATTTTTTAAAAGAAAAAGACGAGCTTGGGACATATAAATAGTCATGTGATCATTTTGTAACTTTTAATAGTCGGAGGACTCAACAAAACAATACCCTACAATTAAGGATTATTTTATAACTTTTAATAGTTGTAGAATTTAACAAAAGAGACCATTTGTATACTTTATCTCGTTATCTTTTATTTATGATTTACCGGATTCCGTTTCTATTTATGTACTACGTGATGTTGTTTCGAGTTGATGAAATAACGTATTCCATAAAAAAAATCTCTACTATCATTTAATATTTTATTGTTTTATAACACAAATCGCATGTCGATACTAAAATTGTTTGCAAGGACAAAAATACTACATATATGCAGGACTTAGAAAGAAGTTTAAATTTTTTATTTTGTCATATTTTTTATTTTCTCGATGTTTGGATTTTGAAGAACTAAATTAGGTATTCGTTAAAGATAAGCTTGGATATAATAATAAAACTTTGAAGTAATTTATCTCAAAATTCTTTTAATTATAAAATTTTAAGATGAATTATACTTTATAACATGATTACTAGTAGACTTTTGAACTGATTATCTTAAGATGTTTGTTTAAATTATAGCTTGTTTTTTAAACTGAGTATTATTTAATATTTATTCAATTGGCGTGAAATTAAATTTATGTAGAAACTAGGGAAAAGTATAGGGATTGAAAGGATAATAATACCTTGAAACATCCAATTTCACCATCCCCTCCGGACCAAAATCATAGGCAATGGACCCTCGGTCACCGTATCAAATCCTGAAGAACTTATAAACCCTAAAAAAGAAAGAATTTGAGTAGTTTCTTTCTAAAGAACTCTAATCCCAATATAAATTCTCTTCAAATCTCTACATTTTGTCTTGTTCCATTGAATTTGAAAGCACCCCATTCACTCCTCCATTTTCCCAAATCCAAACCATGAATGGAAAGAACGAAGAACAAGAAATCATTAGGAAAAGGAAGCAAAATCAACAACTACAGCAAGAAGAAGACGATAATCTTGAATTAAAATTGTCTTGCAGTCCAACGCCGTCATCCACGGCGCCGGCGCCGGTTCCGGTGCCCCATCAGGAAGAAACACTACAAACGGTGTTCGAGCTATCGCCAATGGAAACACTGCTTTACGAATCACCAACTTCGCGCCCTCTTCAGTTATCCGCCAACCATTCTCTTTACAACGCTGCTTTCGCTGATCCTGAAGCGGCGTCTTCAGTTATGTACCCACCACAGGAGCTTGCTCTTTCGTCGTCTCCGGTGAATTTTCAGGGAAGTGGTGCCGTCAGCGGCGGAGTCCCTCCACGAACTTTACGTGTTCGGAGGAACCCAACAAAAACTCTACGAGAAGGTAAAAGCGAGACGGTTGAAACTCCGTATCCATGGGCAACGAACTACCGAGCCACGGTTCATAGCCTTCAATATTTTTCGTCGAAAGGGATCTGTACCATCACCGGTGACGTTCAGTGCAAGCGGTGCGAGAGACAGTACAAGATCAGCTACGGTTTGAAGGAGAAGTTCAATGAAATCGTCACTTACATAGCGCGGAACAAGAGCTCCATGCACGATCGAGCACCATCTGTTTGGCGTAATCCCCTGCTGCCCAAATGCAAGTTTTGCGACCAAGAGAACAGTGCGAAGCCAGTGATTGCCTTGAAGAAGAAAGCCATCAATTGGCTGTTTTTGCTGCTCGGACAAATGATCGGTTGCTGCACCCTCGATCAGTTGAAATATTTCTGCAAACACACCAAGAATCATCGCACTGGTGCCAAAGATCGCGTTCTTTACCTCACTTATCTTACTCTTTGCAAGCAACTAGATCCTACTGGCCCTTTCGATAGAGAATCTTGATGGAAATCCAGTGATTGGTACGTATATCAAGCTACATTGTTGGATGATTTTACGTTATTTCTTACATTTTTCAGCAAATTGGATCATTTGATCATAACCTTTTGATGTTTTAATACATGAACTACACTGTTTGTTGTTCCACAAATGCTGATTTACAGACATACACATATATGGCAAGAAATGCTGGTACTTATATGGCAAGACAATGTGTTTGATAAAATAGTTTTTGCCTTAAAGCAGTTCCAGCTTGTTTCCTTCGATGGTTTTCACTTGTCATAATCAATGCTTCATTAGGCTTTATAATATTATGTAGAACTTCTACTTCTAATAGTTATTAACTATGTTATTTGAATTCGAATACCGTAAATATATTCAAATATATATTTATGTTCGAATACATGTATTTGTTATTTAATATATGTTGCGTAAGATTGTAAATATAACCTATCGATTGGTAAATATCGAATTGGATATGCATAAAAAATGTTTGATCAATTATAAATACGAACGAGGTACATATGTAAGTATCGACAATGTTGATTACTATATTATTTGGTTAAATGATTGACAAAATTGTCCGAATATAATTGATTGTATGCCGTTAAATTACAAATTATTGGATTATATTATGTTAGTACCTAAACTATTTATGTTTCATTGGTACTTAAACTATCAAAATATGTTTCGTTGGTACCTAAACTATTGGGTTATTTCACTTTGGTATCTAAACTATTGGGTTATGTCCCATTTGTATCAAATATATACACTATGAATTGTGTCATCAAAGTATAAATTATTTAATGTGTGCTAAAAGAGTTTGGCTATTAGCTTGAATATAAAGCATATACGGGATTATTTGTACACCCCTTTGGTTATTAAATGAGTTAAATGAGTAGGAGTGTAAATGAACGAAGCTTGAACAAATAAAGTTAGGTTTATATTAGTGTATTTATTTTTAAATGTATTTATGTTTGATTCTTGTTCGTTTAAATTTTCAGTATCATGTTCGTTTATTTATTTTTGAAGATGTTCGTGAACATATTCTTTTAACTCTCGTTTAAGGTTCAACAACCAGAACTCTCATTTTACTCTTTTATTTGCAAGCAAAGAAAAATAGTGAAATTATGTCATTAGTCCTTAAGTTAGCTTCACATTTTGACTCCAAAATTCACCTTATGTTCAATTTACTCCCAACATTCACCAATATTTAAAATATAAAAAAATAAATGAAAAAGGAGAACCAAGTAAATGAGTTTATAAATAAATCGATAAACGAGTTAGTTCGCAAACATAAATGAATTGAACACACATATTTTTATGTTCGTTCGTTTATTAAATGAACATAAAAATTTTGTTCATACTCATTTATTTATTTAGCTTAATAAATGAATATTTATACAAACAATTCATCAAACTTTCTGTTCGTTTACATCCCTATAAATGATTTTGAGATAAAATTGATTGCCATCATTGATTGAAATTATTTATTAAATAATTATCAAACTAATGGATTATATAGATTGTTTACTATGTGCCTTGTATCTATACATTTATATTTGTACTTGATGCTAATTCTAGTTACTTCATTGATTTTTTTAAGTTTATTTTATTACTTGACATCCTTACATGTTAATTAAACATGTTTTATTGTCCAAGGATCTCATCCCCATACGAGTCATAAAGTTTCTCTTAAGAAAATATTATATATATATATATATATATATATATGGGATAAGATTCTGTTACATAATGTAAAACTCTTTTAGTTTTACACAAATTTAAAATCGTTGGATGAGTGAAAATAGATGGTTGAGATTAACAAAAGGAAATGAGAAGATATTCACTGGAAAAAAAGAAGTCAATCTCAACCATCTATTTTCACTCATTCAACGATCCTAAATATGTGTAAAACTAAAGAGTTTTACATTGTGTAAGTGGATCCTAACTCTCTTATTTCTTACTATTGATCTCAACCATTTATTTTCACTCATCCAACAGTTCTAAATCTGTGTAAAACTAAAAGCATTTTACATTGTGTAACAGTATCCTATCCTATCCTATCCCATATATATATATAATTCACTGTGCCACTTATATTGTCCAAACAAATCATCATTTATCGGTTTTACATATTGAAAACATGGCAAATTATTAAACTAACATAAGAGGAGAAATTTGCAAAACATTTTAGACTTATGGACTGGAAAGCATATCATCCCATCAACAAACATCATTAAGAAATCATTATCTTTTACGAATAACATGTCGGTGGATTTGTATCATACTTTCTATTAATAACGAATATCCCATTCCAATAACCAATGAAGGACCGAATTGCAAAACATACAAAATATGACAGCTCGGAGACAAAGCTTATTAATTTTTTAGAGTAGCGTTTTACTGTTTTTTCGAGGAAATATTTGTAGAAAGGCAGAAGTCAAACCTAATTCATGATCCACTTGGAAAGGACTATTGAGAACTAGACAAGTCATTGAAAGATTTTACTTCAGCATTAGTCATTGATGGTTTTTTGTCCATATTAGTCCTGATTTTGTTTTTTCTTCACTTTAATCCCTGAATTAGAAATTATATAAAGATAATTTATTTTAATTAATAAATAAATATATTAATTAACTAAATAACTTAATCGCTTAATGACTACAACAAACGACACTTAATCTTCAACAACCAGCAATTGCAGGAGTCATTTTCACATACTGGAGGAGTGATTAATACGGACAAAAAAAATCAGGGACTAATGTAGATTAAAAAGAACTCAAGACTAATGTGCTGAAGATAGTCAAACTCAGGGATTAATATGGACATACAAGTCAAATTTAGGAACTAATATGGATAAAAGAAACCCAGGGAATAGTGTCGGAAAAGTAGTCAAACTCAGGGATTAAATGAATCTTTACCCCTTATGTTCTGTTGCAATTCAAATCCAAAAGTGCAGCTAAAAATTGCAGAATGAGCATTTCAGAAATATTCATCGATCAAAATTTGGTTAACTTTTGATTCGATTTGATATGATTTAAACTTGAATTCGATTTGAGATCGAGTTAAGCCAGATCTAACTTGACTCAATAAATTAGCGAACAACTTGTTAATTTTTTATAAATTTTAAGATGAAATTTGCCTCATTTTTAAGATTAATTGTATATTGTTAAACTTTTTATTTTCAAGAATACTTGTAATATGTTAGTTTAGTGCATTTGTGGAAACTTTGTAATTGCTTCACACACTATTTTAATATTTTTACATAAAAATTTGTTAATTTATGTTTATATTAAGTTCTATATAATATTATCAGACTTTACATATATTTAAATAAAAACAAGACAAAAATTCTGACCAACTTAACGAGCAATGAGTCAAGCAAGCAACATGTAAACATTAATTCTGTTAAGATCAGAGAGAGAGAATTGAGGTATGTCTTCCATTCTGTTAAGCTCAACATTATATAGGGAAAATTTTGTCATGTGATTCTTCTTGACATACCGAATCTATAACAGCTAAACAAATGATTACGGGCCTGTGGGTTCACCTAGTTTTGAAGCTGCGCACCAGAACTTTATAATCAGCAATGCAGGGTATGCTGTAGGCGGCTGTAGCAAGCCTTCTATGGCTCTATTAGTTCCTTCACCTACTTTTTTATCGTCAAGGTCATTTTAATTATTCTTTGTCAAATGCTTTGCAGGTTATGCGTGAAGGGATACCTTGATGCTCATGAATGGGATCATCAACACGGTGTTGATTATGCTTGACAGTGGATTGTATGCCTTGTTTCAGCATGAGTGATAAACAACTAACATAAAAAAAATTCGAATTTCAAAGTGAATACGTACATATCCTGAAATCCACCTGCGTCTACCACTTAAACTTATGCTTACAATAAGTGGTGTATGTTTCACACGTAACTCTATTAATATTTTGAATTTATATAACAAAATTTCAGTTGTGTAACAATATTTTACAGTCAATATAAATATTAATATTTTGATATTAACCGATGATTTTATATGTTTTAATCCTGAGAAAGGAAAATTTTATAGTAGTGATTGCTTTGATGGTCTAATATGATATGTTAAATCCATCTTGTATCAAATTGAATTTAAGATGTTACGTGATCAAATTTTAAACGCCACAGTCCCATATGCTACTAAGTACTAATTAGGCTAGTTTTGTTTTGCTTAATTATTCTTTTCATATCTAGGCAATCCTTTGAGTGGTGAGACTGTACTATTAGTTGTTTACACTCTGCACTATTATTTTATTTTTGTATAATATTTAAGTGAACTTGACAGCAAACAATAAAGGATTGGCTCATGTATAATTTGTATTTAGTTTTTTTTACTTGTAATAATGTCATTAATAATAATAATAATAATTTATTATTATTGTTATTTAAAAATATAATCACACGTCTCTTTATTTCAATAACATCGAGTTCATCAATTAAAATAAACTCAGCAATTTAAACATATATATTAAAGAACAGATGTATTAAGTTCGAGAATTTACACTCTTAACTTTATTGTCTGGACTTCACAAATATGCCTTCAATTTGGAATTTGGAGTGCTATTTTAGAGTAATTTTATGGCTTTTCTGACTAGAGATCAATAATAAGTTTTGATTGATAATAAAATTTTATTAAAATAATAAAAAAATAAAATAATGCAATCATAATCAAATAAAAAAATTAATGGCATTTCTCTTGTTTTACTCAAAATTCGTTAAATGGTCTCAATACCATTAAGATAATCTTGATAATACTTCGACCTTTGAATGTCTCGTCATAATTTTTTTTCTTTGATATATTTTAACAAAGATTTAGGAGTCACTTGATTCATGGAATGCAAAATTTGAAAATAAGATTATAAGAATATAGCATTGCTTAACATATTACTACGAATGTTGAATTACTTTATTTGGTTTATTAGATAAAAATATAATATTACAATATTTGATTAGACATAAATATAAGATTACATAACTGTTGTATGAAATGTAACATTACTTGACATCATATAGTATCCGGTTAGATGTGTATATGGGATTTGCAATATGAGTAGATTATTTTAATGGAATAATCTTAAAAAAAGACAAAAGTTTGATAGATAAAGGGTTACAAACGCCATTCTACCCTTTATTAGACGTACTTTAGTTTTATGTTTTATTTAATGTTAGTGTGAATCCATCGTGCTTTATAAAAACGAGGTTACTTAAGCTTTAATTAAGCTTTAAATAAATAAAAGAATGGAAAATTGATAAAAGTTTTATAGTTAACGGGATATTAATGTCATTTTACTGTTTTTATAGGGGTAGTAGACTTTTATATTTTATTTAATGGACACGTGATTCAATGCATGAATTCATGATGCCAATGAAAAAAATGACATGATTATTTATTGTAATTTAAATATTAGTTGGTGCCTAATGTAATTTCATTGTTTTTCACATAGAATAATACTATTTGACTTAATTATATTCATATTATATTATCTTGTTATGCTACAAACTTGTATATAAATATGTGTATGCAAGCAATTATGTAGTACATACAATCAAATCAAATACATACGTAAACCTAGCCGAGCTAACAACAAATGGCTGCTCCTACAGCCACAACTGTCGTGCTTGAAAATCAGAGTGGCGACACTGCAATATTGGTTTCGTCCACCTACGAAGGCGCTCCTAGCGTGATTAAGAGTGGTGAACAACCCGTTGTATTCGACCAGAATACAGAGCTCAATACTTACGGATCGGTGATGTATGCTATCGGAAAAATAGCCACATGGATCGTTGTTTGGACCGCTAATAATCAAGTAATTATTATTATCTTGTTTCTCATTTATATTATTAATTTCATAAGTAGTTAATTTCATGTTCAGTTAGCAATTATCTTAAATTTAAACTTTGTTTTATTATTTCTTTTTATAGCATATATAATAATTAGTTCATTTATAAATGATAGGTCGCTACCTGGATTCTTCCGGCGGGTACCTCTGCTGTTTGGACAGATATTTGGAACAAGATTCAACCCGACAATGCGAATGATTCGTACACCACAAGCTACGGTTGGATGTACGAATCAGATGCACACATCAAATCAAATGGTGATGCTCAAGATTTAACCGCCGGGATCTCTGTTATTCCACCAAATTAAGCTAGCTTTGCTTTGCTTAATTACCCTTTGCAATCCCTAGTGTGAAGGTGAGGCTGTCAAAACTAAAATAAACAAGTATTTGCTTACGCTATGCATTACTATTTTACTTTTTTATAATAAATTTGACAGCCAGCAATAAAGGATTGCCACTGGCTCTAGTTGTTGAATAATGTGTGTTTCGTTTGCTTTTTTCACTTGTATTGAGAACAATTACAATAGCATTGACCCAACACGGTTTAAAATAGTATGGATGTATTGAAATCTAGAATTTACACTTTACTGTTCCTCTTGTATTTTTTTTTCTAAATAAGAATGAAAGTTAACTAAATGCACCAGCAGTATCCTCCACCAAGTTGTTTCGCCCCTCAATATATTAACTAGAGCAGGATCTATGATTCCATACTTAGCACGCACCACTCTAGGCCAAAGCTGATCTCGATTTTAAATTAGTTGGAAAGACAGTTTCATAAGAACAAAAGTTTTGGATCAAACGTTCAATATCATTGCAAACTCCTTTGAAAAGGTAAGATGTTTGCATTGCATGAAAAGGTAAAGCAGATAAAACGCCATTATGTTAAGGGGAAGGAGAAGTGTTGAAGAGGTGATCAAGGAGCATTTTTTTTTTATATTTTTGTCTAAGGTGATACACTTTTATTCTTAGTTTATTTCATATGAATCATAAATGTAGTGTCAGTTGAAATATATGTTTTATGTGTTTTTGGTTAGTAACATGAGTTGATGAATTTGCGATGAACTTTACGTTGAAGTTGGTCCCAAATGATGCCATATGATGTAGTTGAAATGCATGTAACTTTAGAGAACGTTTTGGATATCAAATGAATTGTTTAAGTACAAGTTAGAGTGCATTCTCATGCCTAATTTGATCACTTCTACACTTTGATATCGATATTGTTCTTGAGGTATTAATACCTTATAATTTCAAAACAAAATCTAGGTAAGTTGGTTTGATAGTATCGATACTGCTCATCGAATATCAATACTCTCGATTAGGACTGTAAATGAGATGAGACACGTTGAGATCGACTCGATCAAAGCTCGATAAATACTCGAGTAGAATGAAATCGAGTTTTTAATGAGCCGAAATGAGCTATTTGATACTCGACTCGAAAAACTCATGAGCAACTCGAAAAAAATATTATCTTAAAATTTTATTTTTTGAAAGATATTAACATTTATGTGTTGATTTTTTTTAAAATTGTGGTATAAGATTTTTATGCAATTAAGGTTCAGGTTTGAGTTCGAGTTTAAGCTTCAACCAAGTTCAGTTTAAGAATTTTTTTTTAATTTGAGCTTTTTCGAGTTTCGATTCATAGTTTCGAATTTGAGTTGAGCTTGAAAATTTTAGGCTCGCGAGTTTTCGAGCCGAGTCGAGCTTCATTTTAGAGTTTTCGAGTCAAGTCAAGCTCAACAATACTCGAGAACTCAACTCGGCTCATTTACAACCCTACTCTCGACAAGGTATCGATACCTGAACAGTAATACAAATTCTAGTGTATCAATTCTACTTAAACTCATCGTAATTGTTCATGATGTTTAAAACGAGATCGTATAATGCTGGAATGATCAAAACATGTCTTTCATAATATACTTTGAATAAGAAAGTGAATCAAATACTAAACATGGACGAATAAAGCGACTTGTTATGGACCGCCATTGGCATTACGAAACAAAATACGACCATAAGTGACCTTTAAATAATATACGAACTTTGTAACATTTATTTAATATACAATCTTTATAGCATTTATTTGACAAATGACATGCATGTGTGACATTTATGTATATGACATACATAGCTGAGCCTGATAAAACGATCCACTAACAAATATTGATGAGTTTGAATTTTCGCAGTGATAAAGAAAAGAAAAACTTATAGAAAGAGTAATAATAATGGAAACCTTAAATTTATACCTCATATGTATATATCTCTTGCATCATGCATCATGTAGTAAACTTGCTTATGCTTATGACTTGTATGGACTATATTAGAATAAATTTGTATTATTAAGTTTGTAAAGATCAATGTTTAATTACTTTCTCTACACAAGTTAGTAGGTTTTGCTTGATTCAGGAGAGCACTATCGACAAAGAATCTTCAACACTACTTATTCAGAGTATTGTACTGATCTTTAATGATCGTGTATATTCATGTAAATCTTACTTGTACATTAGTCTTTACTCCAAATTTGTATTTTTTTAGTTATTCTGTTTTAAACATATTTCGAGTCGGGACTCAATGTTTTGTACTAAAGGCTGTAGTTGACTTTGTGATATATATATATAAGTAAAGCATTAAAATAAGTCAAGTAAAGCATTTAGTATAAATTTCCAAATTGATCACAAAAAATAACGGTGATAGAATTTGAACTTAACTTTATAAGTTTTAATTTTTAGATCCTAATTATTTGTGTCAACAATCATTGGCATTGCTATGAATTCATGATGCTATATAAAAATGACTCTATTTGATGGTATTTGTTTTTTTTATTATGCTTTAAATTAAAGGGGTGGAAAAAAAGAGAAAAGTTTTCTAGTAAGTGGGATATTAATGCTATTTTACCAGTTTTTATATGGGTAGTAAACTTTATATTTCATCTAACCGGCTTGGGATTAATTATATGAATTCATGATGTTATAAAAAAAATGACATTATTCGTTTATTTTAATTCAAATAAAAAATAAAAGAAAATTAGAAAAGTTTGATAGTTAGTTGATTACTGAGGTTATTCCACTAATAATTTTACACAAACATTAGAGAGGACCATAAAATTAATAAGGGTAAATTATGTATTTAGTCATCCATTTATTCTCATTATTTTGTTTTATTCACTCAATTATTTTTGTTTTTAAGATCATGCTTAATGTTGTATTTTAATTCTGTTTTAATCATTTTTCGTTAAAAAATTAATGGTGATGCTAACATGTCATCATAAGAAAATGTGATGCTATCATTGAAAAAATAAAAAAAATTATCACATCAACAATTTTTTTAACTATGAATGACAAACCAAAACTAAAACATAACATTAGATATGATTTTAAAAAATAGTTTAATGAGCAAAATGAAACCATTAGAATAAATGGATGACTAAATACGTAGTTTACCCCATTAATTAACACAGTTTGTTACATATTTCGACCTTCTCTCCTTGTCGATAGTAAACAGCACGTTTTTAGTGATTTTAGGTCCAATTTAAGGTATTCTCCATCATTTTGTACATTTTCACCAACATAATACATTCATTATTCATTTTATGAATAAACCCATGTCAAAACTTTGGCCGTGGCTTTGATGGAATGTTTTGTTTACCCACCTGAATCTAGGTTTTTTTCTCCTTGTTTAGTTGCCAGTTTCCTTTCAACACTGTTTGTTTCTGGTTGAAGGCTTGAATACAGATTTCGTTCCAGTTTTTTGCATGAATGAGGTCCTTGAGGGATGCTTTAATATTCCACGCTCAAGCAATAAAAGCTGGCTTTTCACCACCGGTTCTCCGGTCAAATCAACTCATCCATTTGTACTCTAAACATGGCCGTATCCGTGAAGCTAAAAAACTGTTCGACGAAATGCCCCAACGAAACATTTTCTCTTGGAACACCATTATCTCCGCCTATATAAAATCCCAGAACCTAACTCAAGCGCGTGCTTTATTCGACGCTGCACCACGGAAAGACTTGGTCACTTATAATTCTATGTTATCCGGTTATGTAAGCGCCGATGGGTATGAAGCTCACGCGCTTGAATTGTTTTACGACATGCGAATGGCATATGATGATATGATTAAGATCGACGAATTTACCGTAACTACGACTCTAAACTTGAGTGCGAAGTTGGCTAAATTGGGTTATGGTGCTCAGTTACATTGTTTTATGGTGAAACAAAGAATGATAAAACTGGGTTTGCTGTGAGTTCTCTCATTGACATGTTCTAAATGTGGGTGTTTAAAGAAGCCTTTCGAGTTTATGAAGTCGGCGTTGGGTTGGTTGATTCGGTTTCGAAGAACGCAATGGTGGCAGTTTTTGTAGAGAAACAATATGGAATGGCTTTGGAACTTTTTTGGAAAGACCCTGAGTGATGATGCTGTATCTTGGAATACTTTGATTTCGGGTTATCAACAACATGGTTATTTGGAAGAGTCATTGAGTTGTTTGTTATGATGGGAGAGAATGGGTTTAGATGGAATGAACATACTTTTACAACTGTTCTAAGTGTTGCTCCATTGAAGAATTTGAAAGCTGGGAAAATTCATGGATGGGTTTTGAAGAATTGTTTGATTTCGAATCCGTATGTAAGTAGTGGCATCGTTGATATTTATTGCAAGTGTGTGATATGAAGTATGCTGAGTTAATGCATTTGTGTAGTGGGACAAGCAACACCTTTTCAGTTACTTCAATGATTGGGTTATTCACTCAAGGTATATGGTGAAGCGCGGCGGCGTTTCGATTCATTGTCCGAGAATGCTGTGTTTCAACTCTTGAGTGAGTTTTGGGACAAAGAAGCAACTGTTCCTGATGTTTTGATACTTATGACTGTGGTTGGTGCTTGTGCCATACAAGTTGCTCTTGATCCAGGAAAGCAGACTCACGGTTTTATGCTGAGAATGGGAATTGAAATGAATGAGAAGCTGATTAGTGCAATGATCGATATGTACTCGAAATGGGCAATATTGCATATGCAGAAAAGATGTTTCAAAAGGTTAATGTTAAGGATTCAGTCATTTATAATGTAATGATGACTGGCTATGCTCACCATGGGCATGAAAGTAAAGTTTTTAAGCTGTTTGAGGAGATGTTGCAGCAAGGAATCAAACCCGATGTTGTTACCTTCGTTGCACTTCTATCAGCTTGCCGTCACTGCGGTTTAGTAGAACTCGGGGAAAGATACTTTAATTCCATGAAAGAAGTTTACAAGATATTGCCGAGAATGACCACTACGCTTGTATGATTGATCTGTATGGGAGGGCTAACCGATTAGATAAAGCTGTAGCATTTATGAAAACTATTCCAATAGCATGATTCTGCTATTCTGGGGGCATTTCTGAATGCTTGTAGGGTAAATAAATTCGGAATTGGCCCGAGAAGCTGAAGAGATACTACTAAGAATTGAAGGCGATAATGG